TTTTGGATGCTCTGTGTTTCTATCCTGTTTGTTTTTGGATGCTCTGTTTTCCATCCTGTTTGGTTTTGGATGCTCTGTTTTGTATCCTGTTTGTTTTTAGATGCTCTGCTTTATTTTAAGGTAGTTTATTCTAACAATGAAGAATTATAAGCAACACGCCAATGGAGTTGTATTCTAAAAGTAGCAGGCAAAAATCTGCTCACGTTACCAATGATGCCAAATATTACATTATAACTCATTGAATTGGTAAGGAAATCTGAGACTAGTATTTTGAAACTTTTTCTTTTTTGCCTGCAACGTTGTGCTTGCATTGTTTGCACACAACAACAATCGAGCCCAGTCAGTATTGTGAAAATATCAATACCGACGTCTTGTTCGTCCAAATTTAATATAGAGCCCCGGTCTCTTCATTCAGAATTCAGCTGACGGCACTGGGAAACAGCACTCTTCATTACCTGTAAAAAGCGATCTGGGTGGCACGGTAAATGACTGAAGTGCCACCATTTGAAAAGATGGCCATCACTATGGTAACTCCAATTCTGTCTTTCAACTTAAAGCACATTAATGGCACAAAAAACTGCAAGCGGAATCAATTTTCTATAGTCGTAGGGAGCGACGTCTTATAAAGTGGAGCAGATAACTATGTTTAAAAATATCCTTATTCAGTGTGTTTTTATACAGTCGGTCCTCCATATCCACAGGTTCTGCATCCACGGATTGAACCAGCCAGAGTTGGAAAACATTTGGGGAAATATCCAAAGAGAAAAGGTACCAAAAGGTTTGAATCAGGGGAGCGGCATGAGTTCCTGCTGTCAACCCCAGCTTCTGCCAACCTAGCAGTTCGAAAACATGCAAATGTGAGTAGGTCGATAGGGGAAGGTAACGGTGCTCCATGCAGTCATGCCGGCCACATGACCTTGGAGGTGTCTATGGACAATGCCGGCTCTTTGGCTTAGAAATGGAGATGAGCACCAACCCCCAGAGTCGGACACGACTGGACTTAATGTCAGGGGACAACCTTACCTTAAAGAACATGACTGCACAACTACAGTACAACGTGTGGACAACCTAAGCCACAGCTTCAAAAGCATGAGAAAAAGTGACATCCGAAAAGTGAGACAAATTCACTCTGTACAAATCTTGGGGCACATTTTCTATGAAGATGAAACCTATAAAAATGTACAACTGGTCCAGCTCTTGCTGAAGGACATTTCACAGTGATTGTGAAAAACTAAGAATTATACATGCAAGTCGTCATGTAAAGTTTTATCGCAACCCAGATGGAGTCACACCATTTGAAATTCTGCCAGAGGATGCTTTTGTAATTAGTTATAAAGTGTGTTTATAAAGCAAGAAATAGTTTTCAATTATCTACAGAGATACTCGCAGGAACACCCCAGCAAGCGAGAGTCCAAAAGTGGCAGGCTCAAACCCAGAACCTTAAGTCATAGCTAATATTGAATGAGAGACTCCCCCACTGGGCACACAGAAGACTGGGCAACTTGGAAGGCACTGATCAGACTTTGCTCTGGCACCACGAGATGCAGAGCCAACCTTAAGAAATGGGGCCACAAAGTGGAATCCACGGCGTGCAAATGCGGAGAAGAGCAAACCACAGACCACCAACTACAATGCAGCCTGAGCCCTGCCACATGCACAATGGAGGACCTTCTTATAGCAACACCAGAGTTACTCCAAGTGGCCAGCTACTAGTCAAAGGATATTTAGTATAATACCAAGTTATTTATTTATTTATTTATTTATTTATAGTATTTATATTCCACCTTTCTCAACCCGCAGCGGACTCAGGGGTGAATTACAATGTACATATACATGGAAAACATTCAGTGCCATAGACTCACAACATATATAGACAGACACACAGAGGCTATTTAACATTCCAGCTTTTTTATGAGGGTATTCTGGCCACCGGGGGAGCTGTCGCTTCACCATCCATTTGTGACAAGTACTTCCTCATTCTTTGCATGCTTGCTGGAGATTTTTATGGCCTCATAAATTAGCCTCCCCGCATAAGCGGTACCTCAATTTTCTACTTGACAGATGCAACTGTCTTTCAGACTGCAAAGATCGACAGCAAGCTACACAAATTGGTCAGAAGCTGACTCCGACCCGGGCTGGCTTCGAACTCATGACCTTTTGGTCTGTAGTGATCTTAATGCAGCTGACTCCCAGCCAGCTGCGCCACAGGTATCTATCTATCTATACATACATACATACTTACATACATCAAAAGTGCCGATGGATCTGGACCACACTTGCCATGGATGATGGGATTTGCAGTCCTGGTGCAACTTTATTTTTTTTTTCAATACATTACAGCTGTATCCTCGGTTTGCTTCTGATATGAAAAACACATTAACACCTCCCAACCAAGGATTCCCCCAGGCAGGAAGCAGACAGGCTTTGAAGCTGCAAGGCCATTCAGTGCTTATCAAGGTGGCCAATTGCAACACTCACACCTACCTCGAACAGACAAGAGTTCTTTCTCCTACCCTGGACATTTTTCCACAGGTATAATCCCCACTTGCCTAGTTTCCAACAGACCACACAACCTCTGAGAATGCCTGCCATAGATGTGGGTGAAACGTCAGGAGAGAATGCTTCAGTCCAACGCACTGGAAACTCACAGCAACCTAGAGATACTTGTGCTTAGCATTTCTCATGCCCTTCCTCCCTCCCTCCCTCCCTCCCTCCCTCCCTCCCTCCCTCCCTCCCTTCCTTCCTTCCTTCCATCCTTTTGAACCTGACTCAGCACATAGAAGTTGGCTTTGAAAGGCAGCAGGTCACAGGAGCTGTCTTCATAGACCTGACAGCGGCTTATGAGACTGTGAACCACCGCCTCCTCCTGAGAAAAATGTATAATATCACAAAGGACGACCACCTCACCCGCCTCATAGGAAACCTGCCACAAAACAGGAGCTTTTTTGTTGAGTTCCAGGGCCAGAGAAGCAGATGGCGGAAACAGAAGAACGGCCTGCCTCAGGGGAGCGTGCTTGCTCCATCCATGTTCAACATCTACACAAATGACCAG